AGTGAGTTCCAGGACAGCTAGGACTGTTTCACAGAGAAACCCTGCCTTGAAAAACAAACAAACAAGCAAACAAAAAGGCAGCATCTGTCCTTACGAGGCTATATGGCCAGTAAGTGACTGTGATGGTCTGGTCCAGGCTGTGATCTCCATCACAGGACTCTCTTAATGTGTCTTGCTATGTGTCCTTGCCAGACACCTTCACTGCACTCAATGCTAACCCTTGGGATTTGTTGGTGTATGTGTGGGCAGTCAGGTGAGTGAGCTAGAAAGGTTGGACCTGTCTGGTTCTGGAGACCTCCCAAGAATAAGTAATGAGTGTGTGTGCCCAGCACACAGCAGGTCTACTTGGCCCTCTTCAGTGAACCAACTTTCTCCTTCCTTTATCCCAGTTAAAAAGAGAGAGAGGGTTGGGCAAATCACCCAGATATGTAAAATAAAAATAAATAAATAAATAAATATTTTAAAAAGAAAAGGAGACCTGATCATGGTGGTGCACGCCTGTAATCCCAGCACTCGGGAGGCAGAGGCTGGCTGATTTCTGAGAGTTCAAGGCCAGCCTGGCCTACAGAGCTAGTTCCAGGACAGCTAAGGCCATTACACAGAGAAACTGTGCCTCAAGAAACCAAAAAAGAGAGAAGGGGAAGGGAGGGAAGGAGGGAGGGAGGATAGAAGGGGCAGGCTATTATAAATGGAAAAGTAGCAATTTGCAGCCCCTTCTGTAAGGTGGGCATCTCACAGTAATTATTTCCTGGGAAAGGAGGATGACATGAACTGAGGCGTCTCCCTGCTCAAGTTCTACCTTATCACTATTGCCTCTCAGGGACATCAATTATAAAGGCCAAAGTCCCGAAGTGAGTTCCTCAAAAGCTGAATCATTAATCCTTAGCAGGTGCAAGCAGAGAATCAGTGGCGCATGGAATCTTCTGTGCTCTAGGTCCAGAGGTTTTTGGACACACCCTGTCTGTCCTCCATTGTCAACCTGGCGTGACTATTGGGTCAGGATGCTATCCTCAAAAAACCCAGTGCGCCTTTCACCTTTTACAGGAGACCTTCAGATTTCCATGGGCTATCGGAGTTTTCAGTCTCACATCCTTTGGTGACAATCACACTGCTATTCTCATCTTCAAATGTACCTTCATTCCCAGGGAATTTGCACATGTGGGTCCCGTCAGGACTGCCATTTCCTCCTGCCCTTCCTGCCTCCGCAGCCTCTCCAACCAAATGTGGCCCTTCTCAAACCTCTAGCATCCTGGATCCCCCACCACGACTATTTCCCAGTGTATTACCCAAGTGTCAGCCCTCCACCCTGGGATGTAAGCCTTGAGGGACACACAATACTTTCCCTCCTACAGGCAAAAACAAATGGTACAAGCCCTAACTTGTCAACTGAAGCTTAGGGGTCTAACTCTTTTTTACCCCCAGACAGGGTTTCTCTGTGTAGCCCTGGCTATTGTGGAACTCACTCTGTAGACCAGGCTGACCTTAAACTCAAAGACTCACTTGCCTCTAGGTGTATGCCACCACTGCCTGGCTAAGGGTCCAATTCTTGGTTCTTGCATGCAGACTGCCTTGTTCCTGATTCTAAACAAGATCATGGCCAAGACACAGTAGGTCACCCAGGTCTAACTGAAAATGTCAGATTATAGGGCATCCCCAGACTGGAGAATTGCCTGGAATTTTTCTACTGCTTGGCAAAGCCTCAAGCTCCCAGCAAACCCTGCCCCTTTCTTCCTTTCCAGGCTAACATGGCCAAGTACCTCCTAATCTGGGGTAGCCCATTCTTGACTCTGAGTATACCTAGTCACAGATGCATCCTATCCTAGTGTAGAAAAGCTGTTGTAAAGTTAATGATACAGACAAGAGTCTCAAGAGACAATCCTGCCAACCCCAAGCACATGAATCTTCACACACAAGGCCATTTGGGCACAAAATGAGTGTGCTGACAGTTTCATGTCAACTTGACACAAGCTGAAGTCATCTGAGAGGGAACCTCAATTAAGAAAATACCTCACATGAAGCCACTGGCAGTGAGTCCAAGATCTAACATTAATGCACAAACTGACTTAGTGGAGCCCATTCTATACCTTGCCCAGCCTAGAGGGGTGTAGAGGTGCCTTGGTCCTGCTTCAATGAGATGATGGACAGACAGTAGACTTCCTAGGGGAGGCCATCCCTCTCTGTGGAGCAGATGGGAGGAGGGAGGGAGCAGGAGGACAGGAGGGAGGGGGAACTGGGATTGGAATGTAAAAATTAAATGAAAAATTAAAAAAGAAAATATCTCATTATGTTCAGGCTGTAGGCATAACTATAAGGCATTTTCTTACTTAGTGATTGATGGAGGAGGGAAGGCCCAGTCCATTGTAGGGGGGGGTGCTGATGGGAGATGTCATTCTGTAAATATGTTTCTCTTATTGGTTAATGAATAAAGCCCTGTTGGCCAATAGGAAAGCAAGACAGGTAGGACTAGGAGACAAGGAGGATTTGGGAAGAAGTAGGGAGAGGATTCAAGATGTAGGACGGGGAGAGCAGAATGTCTGGCCCTCTCTCCGGTAAGATAAGGCCATGTGGAAATACTTAGATTAATAGAAATGGGTTACTATTTAAGACAGAGCTAGCCAATAAGAAATGCTAGTAACAGGCCAGCAGAATTATATCTAATGAGCATCTCTGTGTGTTATTTGGGGCTGGTGTGGCTCTGGGACCAGGCCGGTGGAAAAAAAACCTAACGGTGCTATCCTAGGGATGGAAGTCCCGGATTCTATAAGAGAGCAGGCTGAGCAAGCCATTAAGCTGCACTCCTCTGTGGCCTCTGCATCAGCTCCTGCCCTCACTGCTTTTGATGATGAACTGTAAGCTAAATAAACTCTTTCCTCCCCAAGTTGCTTTGATCATAGTGTTTCATCCCAGCAACAGTAAACCTAAGACAGTGAGTTCTACATATTCTATCTAGACTCAGAGAACACAGGGAACTTTTTCTCTACAGTCTAGATCATTCCATCCCCTAAAACGTGTAGGACCTGTTGCAACTGCAACAGAATACCCAAGCACTTACATCACCTTCATGGGACAGGATGAAGCAGTGGCAGAAGTCCCAAGAGCTACTGCAGTTGACAACCAGGACAGGTGGCCCTGCAACCCCTGGCCAGGCCAGTCTCCAAACCCTACCTAATCCCAAATGCTGTATGACCTCATCTATACCGGGTTGCTTTAGTTTTCAATTTATTTATGAGGGTCACAAATGCTATGGTGCATATGTGGGAGTCAGTTCTCCCATCATGTGGATTCCGGAGACTGAATTGGGTTCATACACCTTGTTGGCAAGCACCTTTACCTGCTGAGCCTTCTTGCCAATCCAAATGAGTCACTTTTAAGCCTCAGCTACCCCAACTAGGACACCAAGGGCTACTGCTAAGCTGGGAAGTGTGCCTAGAATAGCTGCCATGCTCTCCACTGCAGCTCTGCCCCCACTCCCACAACTTGGTGACATCACACAGTAGAGTGCCAGCTTCATCTGCCCATAAAATCCTCACTGCGGAAACCCAATCTTTCCACTGTTTGGTTCTGGGGCACATCTTCATCATGGTCACTAAAAGAGACAGGATCACAGGCAGAAGCCATAGGAACAGGTGTGTACCATGTTAGAGCAGGCATGAATGCAACATTCAACTTAGAGCACCCAACTGTCATGGCTGTCAACAAAGCAGGATGGGAAATGCCAGGAGTTGCTTTGTGTGTTGTGTGTGTGTGTGTGTATGCTGGTACGAGCTGTTATGCACACCGAGGCCACAAGCTCTCTATTGCTCTCCACCTAATTTTCTGGAATCAGGTCTTTCACTGAACTTAGATCTTGCTGCATTAGCTAGACTGTCTAGTAAGCAAGCTGCAAGGATCATCTGTCCTCCCCACCTCCAAGGCCCACGGCGGAGCTGCAGATGCAGACATCTCACCCAGCTTTTACATGGATGCTAAGGGTGCAAACTCAAGACCCTCACTACTTGCATAGCAAGTATGCTACCCATGAAACCATCTTCCCAGCCCCTAGAGTTGTTCTCAATACATCTACCCACTAATAATTCCTTTCTTCCTTGGAGTTAAGATGAAGAAACCACGAATGCACATCTGTCACTCACCCCACACCCTAACTATATCCAAGCCTCACTTTAGGTTTGATATTTGTCTCTTCCACTGTCTCCTTCCACCACAGCCTAGCCTAATGACGCCTGATAGGCAAGTGAAAAGCAGATAGACAAAGTGACACTGCAATAAAGGGGCAGGTACGGTGCTGAATGCTCCTATAGTCAGTGCTCAGGTTAGGGCATGGAGGAAGGGATGTTGTGATGCTTTAAAGAAAATTACTTCCCTCCCCCCAATAAAGAATGACATTATTAGGAGCTATGGCCTTGTTGAAGTGCCACTGTCAAGGTGGGCTTTTGAGGTTTTCTAGGCTCAAGCTACACCCAGTGTTAAAGTTCATGTCTGGTTGCCTGTGGATCAAGATATCTGAAACTGTCTCAATTAAATGTTTTCCTTTACAGGCGTTGCTTGCATAGGTGTCTCTTCACAGGAGTAGAAACCCTAAGGCAGGTGTCATGGGTGTACATTCATTACACTATCACCTGTGCATCCGAAAGAGACATCAACTATCACACACCTTTCACCTGGGAAGGGAAGCCAGCTGCCTGGCTCCCAGGGCTCAGAGACTTTTTCCCCTCTGACTGTGAACATATGTGTGCTGGTGAGATCCAGGGGCTTGTGGTCAGGAATGCCCTGACCTGGAAACACAAACCCATCTTTCAGCTGATCTGGCTCAACAGAGCTGTAGGGACTACACACAGGGCTCTGGGTCAGCCACAGCCCAACACTGGACAAGCAGAATCAGGACAGGCTTCTCATGGCTTACACAGCTGACCTCTGCATACAGAGCCAGACAACACTACCTTCTGAAAGTTTGTCAATTCTGGAGACTTGTGAAAGCAGTCTCTTCCCAGACTGCCTGAGGCTCACTGCCAGGGGCAGCTGGAATCTTTATTCTGTTAAGCGGCAGGACAGCGATCCAAGTACAGTCTTTCCAGACAGTGAGCATCAGAGTGGGAAGCCCACTCACTCCATCCAGGTCAGGATGCCCAATTCAGCATCGTCAGGTCCAGGCCACCTCAGGAGGGCTTCGCTGTGGCTTTCAGTCTCTTTCCCCTGTGCTTGAAGTCACGCAGTGGGTTCTGGGTTTTCACCTTCTACAAGGATGGAGTCACAAGTTAGTTATGGGAATCAGCACCTGGCAAGACCCCTCCCTGTGCCATAAGCCAGAGACTGCTAGCTGCCACAGACAACATGAAGGAGCCAGCTAAGGACAGAAACAAGGCCTTCAGGCAGCTGGGGGAATACCACAAACCCACACCCCTATTCCACCCCTATTCCTGGGAGCCCTATCCCTCCCTCAGACAAGGCAACTGCTGAAGGTGAAGGGCAAGGTAGGAAGGAGTCCTGCTGTGATCCCAAGACTCCCAGGAGACATACCTTAACCTTCCTACAGGAGGGCAGCTTTCTCCGTTTCTTTCGAGGATGTACAATGTCACGAAGAGCGGCAGGAACTGGAAGAGATGCTGAGCCTCAGACATAGCTTCACTCTGCTTGTAAACTCCAGCTACAAAGTCCCACCCCCTTCTCAGGGCCACCCTATACAACTGTCTCAAAACAGGAAAACAGAAGTCTATATGTGTGGCTCCTGAAATGCAAATTCACTAGCCCTAACCTTCCCTCCATATTCCACGCAAACTTCATGTGATCTTGGACCTGCCCTCACAACATCTGACACTTTACACCTGGCTCTTGCAAACTTCCTGGCTATACTCTCAGTAAGTGGCCCTGCTTTTACATGAACTAGAGGCCAAAGGGACCCTCCCAGCATGTCAAAGACCATCAATGAAGTTTTCAGTCCCATCCCTATGAACCTGTTTTCAGCTCGTCCTCTGGCATTAGCATGCTCCCACCTTTCCCAGCACTTACAACCTTTCTGCCCTGTTATGTCCCTCCCATACCTTCCTATCACTTCTACGGCAGGAACATCACATCGACAAGTTATCTCCATTCTAGGCAGGCAAGATCAGGAATGGTGGAGGGCCTAACTCACTGCCCAGCTAACCCACTCTTCTCCATTTTGGTCATTGTAAGCATAGAAGGCATGAATACTCCCTGCTAAAAATACCCCACATTAGACATCAAAAATGATGAAATGCTATTACCAAGAGCCTTTATGAGCTGAGAAGGGTGAATGGCTACTCTCCTTCCCTTTGTAGTGTGTGTCTCCCTCATTTGTTCCTACCTACAGACCACAGAGGTCTCAACTTGATGCCTGCCAACTGAGAACATCCCCTAGCACAAGGCTCCTGTGCCTAGGACCCTCTCTCCAACTCGCTCAGCCTCGTCGGAACACAGAAAGCCAGTCACTGGCTCACTGTCCTGCTCAACCACACCCTGGAAATGTGCCGCCAACTCTGCACAACAAGTTTCCTCATCTCCACAACAGCGATGAACTGGTACACACTGGCTCACACATGCTGTGCTGCCTGGGTCTCTAGGTCCTCTCACATGCATGAAGCTTTCCCAACAAAAAGCACAGGGGCTGGTGGAAGATGACCAAGAAAGCTAGGCCATTTCCTCCAGTCTCCTGACCCTCAGCAACACTCACCCAAGTAGTCAGGGACATTGCCCAGATGAGGCTTTACCACGGCAGGGTGCAAGGGCAGATCATGGCGCAGCAGCTGCAGGTCCCTGGGATTGTCTTCAAAGTATGTCTGACAGGCAGAGAGAGCTCAAAGTTGAAGAGGTACAAAAAGTGACACCATGAAGTGTGCCTACCACTTTGTTCTTTACCCTCCTCGACGGCCAAAGCCTAGCACAAACCAGGACAAGATTCTCACGGCTTACACAGCTGACCTCTGCTGACCAAGTAAGGGACATTGCATGCTGCAGCAATGTCAAATACCCCCACCTTGTGGAAATCTGTCAACTCTGCAGTATAGTTCCTTCTCACATACCAGAGGTTGGCAACTCAGGGCAGCTAGAATGGTTATTCTCTGATGCTAGTTTTTCTGAGTCCCATCCATGGGCACACCCTCCTCTATGATACAAACAACAGCACCAAATCGCTTTAGCTTAGGGTCATCTTATAGATGAGATTTCTCATCACACTGGAAGCCTCTCCACTCTTCCCAATGTCTGTGGATTCCAAGGCTTCTGGTGTGGACCCCACGGGGGTTCCGTCTTTGGTTCTCTAATAGTGTTGCGTGCACACACACACAAACATACATATACACACACACCCTTATGTATACTCTTTTTTTAATGCTCTGTAGGCTTACCTATATTTCTTTTTTTTTTTAAGGATTTATTTATTTATTATATTTACAGTGTCCTACCTATATATTGCTGGCATACCATAAGAGGGCACCAGATCTCATTATAGATAGTTGTGAGCCACCACATGGTTGCTGGGAATTGAACTCTGGTCCTCTGAGTCATCTCTCCAGCCCATACACTCACTTGTTACCAATGCCAAGTGACTACCATGAAGTGTGTCCACCATCTGGGGGTTCCATGTTTGGCTCCCGAACACACCCATGTACACTCACTTGTGACTGATGCCAAGGGACTATCATCAAGTGTGTCCACCGTCCTCCCAGCACAACAGCTGTCTTTCAGCTGGCTTCCTGTCTCCCTGCCAAAGGCCAGCACACTGTCTAGCTCTCTGCTTCTCACCACCCAGAGCTTAGCCAGCCTTCCAATGGTCAGCTGCCAAGCTTGCCCTCACCTTGAGCTTCTCTGAGTGTAGAAGCTCCTCCTTGATCTCCTTCAATCTTGCCTCTCGGATGGCCTGTTTAGTCACTGAGCGCATAGCATCCTGTGGGTAGACCAGGGGTCAGACAAACTTATACCTAAGTGCTCAGCAATGGGGTGCAACTCTGGGTGATAGCCCAATCCTCAAGCAACCCCCACCCCCGCCCACCCTAGTGTTGAGCTTACCCTGCAGCGATAGCGAAAGCTTTCAATCTCCTCCATCCGGAACTGGTAGGGAAGCAGGATAGGAGCCTCGCCCTCTGGGGAGAAAGCAGCAGTGAGGGCTGAGGGCAGGGCCTGGTCGCCTGCTACTCCTCCGAATGAGACTATACCCTGAGACGACCCAGGATACTCTGGTCAGGGGTGTGTCCTTGAGCTCTGTGTGCCACCGCAGCCACAGCCTCAGCCTCGAAACCCACCACCCACTCACTTCAGGGCTTGGGTGGCCACAAGACCCTTCACAATTATGGCCTGCAGTCAAGGTATCTGAGTCAAGACAGAGCAGAATAGCTAATCAGTCCCTGACCATGAGGCAACCAGTGAACATGATAGTGGAAAACTACTTCATCCACTACCTGTGAAAGGAAAGGACACAGTGCTTGTCACATGTTGATGAACAGTGGTAGAGGGAGTCTGTCATCACTATGGATTTTTTGGTGTTTTTCACAGGGTCTTACTATATATATCCCAGGGAAGCCTCCAACTAGCTATGTAGCCTAGGCTGACCTACAACTCAATCTCCCTGCCTCAGGCTCCCAAGGGCTGGGATTGTGGTATGTGACACCACACTTGGCATTGTTGTGAAGTGTCTTCTTCCCTCTCATCTGGGACTTTAAAAGATTTATTTTATTTTTTATGTGTGAATGCCTTGCCTACATGCACATATGTGTACTGTGTACATGTCTGGTGCCTACATAAGCCAAAAGAGGGTGTTCGAGTTTTACAGACAGCCATGAACTGCCAAGTGAATGCTAGGAACTAAACCTGGCTCCTCTAAAAGAGCAGCAAGTCCTCTTAACCACTGATATAGCCTTTGATTTAAAAAATAGCAACAACAGCCAGGCTCTAGTAGCTCTCGCCTTTAATCCCAGTGCTCATGAGGTAGAGGCAGGTTGATCTCTGTGAGTTCAATAGTTCCAGGACTGGCTCCAAAGCAATAGAGAAAAACCCTATCTCGAGAAACCAAAAAAAAAAAAAAAAAAAAAAAAAGCAAAGGGTCTTGCTATGTCCCAGGCTAGCCTCAAATTGTCAATCATTCCATCTCACTCCCTGTGTTCTTCAATGGCTGGTGTGCACTACCATACTGGGTACAGTGGTAGGTTTCAGGGTGAGGTGAGAGAAAACCGGCTCCTATAGACTCACAGTCACGGAACAAAGGCTCTTACCTCCACTGAGAAGTGCCTCGATCTGTGCCAAGCAAGACTGTTCTGTGGGCAACACAAAGGTCAGAACTATGCCTGGGTTGTTGGCTCGAGCTGTCCTACAGTGGGAGATCAAACATGCATCACTATCCTGTCCGGATCACTCCAACTCCTTCAGCATGCCGGGCTCACTACTGTGCCATCCTCCTACCTGCCAGCTCGATGAATGTAGGCTTCTGGAGTGGGAGGAAGGTCAAAGTTGAGCACAGCAGACACGTGGTGGAAGTCTATGCCCCGGGCCACACCTGACTCCGGATCAGCAGCCCTGAGGAAATAGCCCAGTGTCAACCAGATCCTTATTCTCTGGAAAGGCATTCTCAAGTTCACTCTCTGAACTATCATGTAACCAAAGCTTAAACACCACCAAACTACTGGACGTTAGAATTACTCCAGGGCCAAACCCTTGCCCTGACCTCGGTTCTGCGCAATAGCAGAACAAACTGACCCACAAACCACCCCTGTGACCCTGAACTCTTCTAGCAGGCAACACTTGGAGAGTGTCTCTCCCCAAGCCCCCAAAGGCATTCCCTGCACATGGTAGCCACATGCCCAGGGCTGACTGGGCCACCTCCCCTGTAAGTCAGCTCCCATCAGCCCATGCCCAGCTTGACACTTTGCACTGAACATGCAGGCAGCACCCTTTACCACCCTCTCTACTTCTTCATGTCTGTCTGTCTAGGAAGCTAAGCAAGGGCCCACGGATGGCCTGGTATAATCATCAAGAATGTCTGGCAACCTGTTCTATGCACTTTGGCTTCAGTCTTAACAAATGTAGAAAAACAGTCCTCTCAGGGAACGCTGAGAAAACCGTGGCCTTACTTGTCTCCTTTGGAGCCTCGGCCTCGCCGCTTGCCTTTAACTGGCGGTCCCAGGATCTCAGCATCGGTTGCTATGACACAATCATAGAAGCCTTGGTTGAACTGTGAGATAATGTGGCACCTGCAATCCAAGAGGAATGGTTAGCCTGCAGCACAGAGGCTCTCCCCAGTCCTACCGATCCTAACAATCATCCTTTCCTATTTCATCCTCCATATCTCTTATCATCTTCAGGTCTGTGCCTTAACTTCCTCAGTTGAAAATGGAGTAATGGGCCAGGCAGTGAGGGCATACGCCTTTAGTCCCAGCACTCGGGAGGCAGAGGTAGGTGGATCTCTGTGAGTTCAGATCCAACCTGGTCTACAGAGTGAGTTCCAGGACGGCCAGGGCTACACTGAGAAACCCTGTCTCTGAAAAACACAAACACAAAAACAAAAAACAAGAACAAGGGACTAGGTGTACCACGCAGTGACTAAGTACTTGTCTAGCATGAACAAGGTTCTGTACTCAATCCCTAGCAATGCAAAAAGGGAGGAGGGAGAAATAAGACCAAGCTGTGTGAGCTGGCCCATAGAGCTTTAATTCCAGCACTTTGAAAACTGAGGCAGGGGGACTGCTTTAAGTTCAAGGTCAGCCTGGACTACAAATACCTCTTATACAAAGAAAGAACAAACTGGGTTCTCCTTCCATGTTTTTTCTCAGCTTTTCTTTACCAAGACATAGACCATAACAAACCTGGAGCGCAGCGGGAGTTCTCCATTGAGCACGCAGGAGGGGATGCTGAACTGTTCCAGGAAAAGACGGAGGCGGTAACCCCTCTCTAGAGTGTTGACAAAGAGCAAGGCTTTGCCCCGAATTAGTGACAGCTTGAGCAAGGCATACACGAGCAAGAATTTGTCTTCTTCAGTCTCACAGACCACCTGAAACTGCTGCAGCTGGTCTGGCCCCGGCAGCTGGGACTCTTGTAACTTGAGGGTAACCTAGGAAGAGGGCACACCTGTGATCAGGAAAGAAAGAAGGGGCACTATGGCCACTGCCTCAGCAACAAAAGCACCCACATCAGTGGGGAGCAGTGAGCTATCACCAAGCCCCCACACGCCCTATCCCCAGGGTTGAACCTAAGAACTCAAAGCGCCCTACTATTGTGGTATATAGAAACACAAACCATACGTACAGCATACAGCATCAGTGTACACAACCAAGAGAAACACTGATAGACAATATGCAGGACAGAAAGCCTGAGTAATGGTTCTGAAGACTAACATATATACAAGAAGAGAGCCCTGCCTGACCTTAGAATGTTGCCTCCCCTTGAGGACACAATGACCCCAGGTAAGCCTTCTAGGCAAAGCATAGTTTGGACTAGGGACACCTAGAAATATATAATAATTTTAGGTGGCTTCCTTTCAGTGACTAAGAACTAGGAACGACAAATCCAACAATAAACAGCCCCACCCCAAACACTGAAAGTTTCCTCTGAGAAGGAATGACAAGCCTCTGAGTGTCCCCAGCTCTAGCTCTAAATGTGCACTCAGCACCCCTTACCGGGTTATGTAGTACCAGCTCCTTCAGAGCTTGAACGTCCTCGTTGAAAGTGGCTGACATGAGAAAGGCCTGGTAAATCCGAGGCAAGTGACTAAAAGAAGAAACAGGGCCTGATCAGGCTCCAGTTCTACCCAGTCCTTTCCAGCCCTGGGGCTACACTCACAGAGGTTCCCACTGGGAGCCACGTCCATTTCTTTCTTACCAAAGAAGACTCTTGAGTTCATCCTCAAAGCCAAAAGAAAAGAGAAGGTCAGCTTCGTCTACCACCAGCAGCTCCAAGGAGTCACGGAGCTTCAAGTTGTCCTGCTTCAAGTGGTTTAATATTCGGGATGGGGTCCCCACCACCACATCAGGCTTCTCCATCAACATAGCTCTGCGGGTGGCAAGTTATAGGTAGCAAGAATTTAGCAGCCAGAACCTCACCCCGGCAGACCTGCCTTCAATTGCTATTCACAAAGCCAAAGCCATACACCTCTCCAAATAGCTTTGTTCCACCCACCTCTGAGAAGCCGAGTCTTCAGCGGCTGAGACGTTAGCCACTCTAACATCTCGCGCACAGTAGGCTGCCAGCTGCTGCATCATGGACTGAGCCTGCCGTGCCAGCTCCTTAGTAGGAACGAGGACAAGGCCTCTCACAGCTTGTTCCATTACAGGACCTGTCTGTAAAAGCATGAGTTAAAGACTGTTAAGTGTACTGGGCCCACGTAATGCTTTCTCCCACTCCTTCCAAACAGTGGGGAGGATGCAATATAGTCACCTAGTGATGTTCTCATAAACTCTTAATTCTGCCCACCTCAGGTCACTGAATGGAGAGTTTTCCCAAACACTGAAACTAGAAAATACTTGCTGCAGTCTTAAATTAATTAACACATACTGGAGCTAATATGCCTTCCCTAAATTAAAAAGTATGTATATATTTACTCGAGATTATAACAAGGCTGGTGGTAGTGGCAGCAAGGTCTGGGTTGAGACAGGTAACCTCAACTCCAGCTCGGAGCAAGTGGACCAGGTTTCTCTAGAGATCAAGGGATCAGGAGAAACCTTTGCACAGATGGGTACTTCCCTCCCCAGATTTTGGGGGGCTTCCTTCATCTTGCCTACCGCCCCTCTCGCTACCCACCGCTTTCTTGTGAAGAAGCAACTGCAGCATAGGAATAGCGTAAGCTGCCGTCTTCCCGGAGCCTGTGCGGGCGCGGGCCAGTAGGTCCTTCCCCTCCAGGGCCAGAGGTATAGCCTTTTCCTGGATCAGCGTAGGTTGTGACCAGCCCAAGTCGGCGACAGCCTAAGAAGGGATAGGACGCGGCTCAGGCGGCGCGCAGTGCGGGGGCACGCCGGGTTCCAGCTCCACAACCTTCCCCATACCTGCAGGAGGCGGGGATCCAGCCCCATGTGTTCAAAACCCAGCGTATCTTGGTCCTCCATGGCGTGCCTCTGCACTAACAGTGCGCACGCGTAAGGGCGGGACAAACCAGTAACCAATCAGTTCCGGAGGAGCCATCACTTCCTGGAAGTTCTTCCTCTAATTTATGCGGCCGTGCCGCGCGCAGGCGCGGAGGCGGTCTCTGAGCGCCTTGAGTCGCGGGTGCCTTTCTACAGGCACCCCAACCTTCCATGGCCCACTAGCGGCGGGGGCAGGACTTGGCCTGCTAAATTATGATTAGGACGCGACCGCGTTTTGCCTGAGAGGAGACAGGAAGGGCACATGCGCGGAAGAAACCATAAGACAGCTGCTAAGAAGACTCTCACGGATCCTGCCACATGCTCTGCTATCTTTCACAACCAAGTTGATCTGACCCCTTCTTGGGACCTGACTTTACCAGAAAACAAAAAACAAGGACTGCAGTCAGACAGTGTTACCACATACTAGCTAGGCCCATGCTTCTTCCAGAATCCCTTTCCCCGGGCATGTTCTTGGGACCTTTTCATTCTGTTTTTTTTTTTTTTTTTTTTTTTTTCAAACAGGGTCTCAGTATTTAACTGTGGCTGGCCTGGAACTTGGCAGGGACTGGCTGGGATTAAAGATGCGCCATCATGACCGATTTGATTGGGTCTTTTTAAACACCTTCTAAAGCCAAAAATATAATAAACTATGTCTCCAGATCTATTTGTGTGACGTCGGTCGACCTTGGGCCCATTTCTTCTGAGCTCCTCCACCCACAACCACTTTCATCACAAGAGACCTTGTGATGCTCCCTCGGGAGCAGATTGAAAGCCATTCCTTCATCTTATCACTGGCGCTTTAATTAACTACTTGCCTGAAGGTCACCTAATCTGGTCTCCCAAATTTAAGTTTGTATTTTAAGCTACCTGGTAATTACTGTTAAAGCAATAAAGAGATTGGTGGGAACTAAATACATTTACTAACAGGGTCTTATTATAATGACCATTTATTAAGAAAGGGAAAGACCAGGGCTGGAGAGATGGCTGCTCTTGCAGAGGACTTGAGTTCAATTCCCAGCACCCACATAGTGGCTCACAACTGTCTGTGATGCTATCTGGTGCCCCCTTCGGGCCCTCAGAAGAACACTGTATACATAATAAATCTTAAAAAAAAAAAAAAGACCAAAGAAGAGTCTTTAAAACCAGGAAAATGGCTCAGTGTAGAATTCTTCCCTAGCATGCATGGTGCCTTAGGTTCAGTTTCAACCAGCAGCAAAAGCCAGGAAAAATGGAAGACTAATGAGAAGGGAGACTAAGATAGAGGTCTAGAAGCCTAATTGTAGATCTCCAGCACCTGTTATTACCTACGCCAATGGTTCTCAACCTTCCTAATGCCAGACCCTTTAGTAAATGTTGTGGTGACACCAATCATGAAATTACTTTCATTGCTTTGTTAAAACTGTAATCCAGCTACTGTTACAAATTGTAATATAAATATCTTTTCCAGATGGTCTTAGGTAACACCTACAAAGGGGTTGTGACCCACGTTAGAACCACTGCTCTAGACTAACTTCTTCAAAGTCATCTGACTAGCAGTACTTGCCATGTCGGGTGGTACTCACAACTTTCAGGGGTTTGAGTAGTTGCATTTGGGGCACCCTGCCTACCATGTTCTTCATATACAAACCTGACTGTGGTAGAGCTTCAGTGCCACCAGAACCCTGTTAAATCTCTGAGGTGGAGTGAAACCCTGCTTGTTCACTGGGATATGTGCTCCAACGCCTGGCCTTTTCTAGCCTCTTACTCTCAGGTCCAGGGTCTGCTTTGCTGGCTAGAATTCTTGAGATACCAACAGCAGACAAGCATCTCTTCTCAAGAGCCTCACACTATGGGTCTAAACATCTAAGTCATTCAGAAGACATCTTATTTCTGAGTGTGTTGGCACACACTTATGATCCCAACACTGAAAGGCAGGGCCAAGAGGATCTTGACTTAAAGACCAACACAAGTGCCACCTCAAGGCTGTCTCAAAAACAAATCAAGACATTCCCTTACTGGGCATGGTGGCACAGGCCTTTGGTCCCAACACTCTAGTGATAAAGGCAGGTGGACTTCTGTGAGTTCAATGCCACCCTGGTGTACACTAAGGCTATGTATAGATAGATACTCTGTATCAAAAACTAAACTCTCTTAACACTTAACTTCTCATACTAGTTTGTTTGGTTTTTTTGTTTTTTCAAGAAAGGTTTTCTCTGTGTAGCCTTGGCTAACCGGGCCTTGAACTCAGAGATCCACCTGACTCTGCCTCCTGAGTGCTGGGATTAAAGGCAGACACCACCACCGCCTACCTTCGCATACTGATCCTATACCAAAAACTGCAAAACTATTTTAAGTATCAGAGGAAGTTGAACATCCAGAATTAGAAATAGGAGGGATATGCAGAATTTTTTTTCCTTTCTCTTTGCAAACTAAAAAAATTGCACATATTCTTTAAGTGTAAAACAGGCTCATAAATAGTAGAGAACACAGAAATAAGGGGAGAGCTTGGTTCTATAAGTCAGAAAAACAAATTTAATAAATATTCCAAATAAATATATAAAACTGTGAAATGAAATATCAAGAATGGGCAACTAATGGCATGAGGTTTATACAGGAGGGGACGAGGGAATTATTGTAAGAGCTGTTTGATTTGTTTTGTTAGTTCCTTGCTAACATCTTATCTACTAGGGTAATCTTAAGCAATCAACCCATCCACTCCCAGACCAAGCCTTAACATGGGTGCCCGATTAAAGTCTACCACACATTTTCTACAAAGGCAAGCAATCTAGGCCAGTAACCCCCGTTTTTTCCCCTTTTGGCCTTACCTCTGTCTACACCTATTATTTTATATCAAACATAGCTACTATGTTTCATTTCATTGAAAGAAAATCTGCATACAGAACCAAAACCTGGTTCTCTTGAAGAAAATATTTATGTCAGGTGTGGTGGCACTTGCCTCTTCAATCACAGCATTTGGTAGGCAGGCACAGGTGGATCTGAGGCTAGTCTAGTCTACATAGGGAGTTTCAGGCCAGCCAGAGCAACAGAGTGAGACTGTCTCCAAAACAAAAAAACCTACAAAACAGTACCATTGCTTAAATAAAAGTTAAGGGGAAGAGTACACTGCTCAGAATTACTGTGTCATCCTCTTACCCAACTCTGTGAACCTGTGGGATTGGACTCACAAGAGAATTCTTCTTGGCCTTCTAACATGGCGAGTAACTATAGTGTCTGCTTTCTGGGCCCAAACTGCTGAAATTATGAGCACTTCATCGTAGTGTGTGAGTAAGTAGAATGCATAATGTCTGAATTAGTGTTTTTGACTAGTTACAAGTAGTGATGATTCAACCAGGAAGGAAAATATATAATTTATCCAAAAATAGTTCTAAAATATAGAAAAAATCTCAATCCTTCAGGGCCAAGAAGTGCCCCTTATTTACATTCACAAAGCCATTGAGAGAACTCAGGACTGACCCAGGGATACTGAGGCAGGGCCAGTGTATGGGGTATGCCAGTTGTCCTCTGCACAAGAAGACAAACAGAAAGCAGAAGAACATTTGTTCATCTCTCCAAAAACAGGGGAGATCACCAGAGGCAAAAGAAACAACTCGATGTTGGGTTAATTCCAACTTCTCCCAAACCCTAAGGCAGATTTTGAAAGCTTGGACCAATGTCTGTTTCTTGGAGAACCAGGGTCAAAAGGTAGCTGATTTGAATGGCTTATTGCCATTATACCAATGTGACACATTGCTTTTCCATTTTCCCTCCTCAAAATCCAGGTGGACAGGGACTAGGTGGGGAAATTATCAAATAATTGAGGTAAAAGGGAAAGGTCATATGGCAAGAGCCCTACACCAGCTTCTTCGCTTCAAAGAAGCTCTTGAGGTGCCGCATCTGCCAGATCCCAGTGAGGATGAGGATGACAGTCTGGGCGATGGACCACCACAGGACCCGCTGATTGGTGCTCTCACTGGTCAGACGGAAGCGTTCCTCACGGTACTACATGGGACAGTGAACAAAGCATTAGAACTAGTAGGAAAACACAACTTGCTATTATAAGGTCCCTCTATCTGTGTAACTGCACAACTCCCAGAGCAAATGTCTCTGGAATACCACCTGTAATTCCAAATACCACCTGTAATTCCATTAGGTGTGCATCTTCCCACTGAGACTGCCCCTAGGAAGGAAAGTGATGTTCTCCTAGGTTATTTCTTCTACGACTAAAATAATGCTTCTACAGTAACAGCCCATGGAAAACAAGCAAGCAATAGGTACTACTAGATTGATTGTACGCTGTCCTCTCTAGACTGGCTCATACAATTTAGAAATAACTATCCAAAGCAAGATGAGAGCTCTTTACAACACACTATTATTCAACCTTAAAAGGAGAGTTCTACAGCTGGATGTGGTGGTGTACAACTTTAATCTCAGCACTCAAGAGGCAGAGGCAGACAGATCTCGGAGTTCAGAACAACCTGGTCTACAGAGCAAGTTCCAGAACAGCCAGGACTACACCCATCCTCAAGAGGAGTGGAGGTGGGCAGATAGTTCTACAGGCTGGAAAGATAAGCTAGTGGTTAAGAGCTCATACTCCTCTTGTAGAGGACCCATGTCAGATGGGTCACAGCCACCTGGAGCTCTAGCTCCAGAGGATGACGCCCTCTTCTGGACTTAGGGGACACCTGCACTAACACATACACAAACCATACATATTCACATAACTGATAATAAAAATCTTTAACGGGGGGCCATGATGGAGTTATCTAGCCTATATGGTGTTCAGTTTCTAGCACCATAGAAATAAAATAAATAAATGTGAAAATCAGAGAGTTCTGACACACTACAAGACAGATGAATCCTGGACACACTGATAAATGAACTGAGACAGTCACAAAAGAATTCCACTTAGTTGAGGTACAGTGGTCAAGACCACAGGCAAAAAGTAGAACAGCAACATGGGAAGGTAAGTGGGGAGTGGAGTCAGTGTTTAACACTAATCAGGGTCACAGATAAAACTGCAACTAGGGAAGTGGAGTGTGTGATGGGTTCAGACTCTCTAGGAGGGCGAAAGTTAGGCAGATA